GACAGAATGTATGTTGACTTTCTATTGAAAAGTGGGCCAATATTCAAAAGAAAATCAACAGAAAAGCTAGAGAACGTTAGGTGAAAAACTGTTGACAGTTTATAAGCTCTGAGGATTTTTTTCAACAGTCTTTCGACAGAAAACCTCTACAGTTTTTTTGTAAGGGCGTTCAAGGCAAAAATTGGCTTATTTCTTGACTGTCGGGGATCGCATGGTTCACGTTCTTCCCTTTTCTTCTTCGGTGCTACACTCGGACTACACTTGGGCGTTTTTAGGACACTACGTTGGGCTCATCCCTGGGGTGATAACAAGATTGAAATTGACACCGCGCCGCTAACGTGCTTGCATTTTTTAATAAAACAAGACGAGAGCAAGCACATTGTCGTTACCGTGTCGCTTAAGTGTCGGCATTTATTCAAGTTCAACGTTTCTCGAGAAAAATCGCAACTGGATAGGTGCTCCGCTCAGTGGGCGAAGGGAGCCTAAGCTTCTCAGGAGGGAAAGAGGGAGAGGGGAAGGGGGGGGGGAGTGTATCGGAGTCACACAGACGGTCGCTTTTCTATATGAAGACGATCAGCGACAAAGCGTCTTAGTGAAAAAAACCCACAAATGGTCAACCCCTTATGCAACTTCTTTGAAGTACCTTTTGTCAAGCACTGTTCGCATATGTCGCACCCACGCAAAGTTCCCACGGTAATACATAATGTTGCAGGTATATTTATTGAACGAAGCCTCTTATGCAGTTGATTTTGCATAGTTCACTTCGCTCTTGCAACCGAGGCGTCGTGTACGGAAAAGTGACAGTCAGGCCAGGGGACACTTGCTTGTATACAAAAAAATAGGTTTACGTTCGTGTGGCACCTTAACTTGGCAAATCACAGTGCTCGGATTTCGGGTCGATGCTGGAAAGTGTCTTGAGCCGACTCAAATAGTTTATATCACTATCTGAACCCTGAGACAAGGAGAAATAAAATAGCCTACACAACGACACACAATCTCAAACGCAGGGGTGTTTATTCGCAAGGAAACAACAATTTATAGCCGTCCACACGGACAGGAAAGAGGGAAGACAAAAATACATGCCACCGCAAAGTTACCGGAACCGAGCCAGACTGACGTATCTCCACCAAGACACCACACCACCAGCAGATAACCGCCGCCAAGCTACCCGACAACGTAATCGGAATCTCCGTCAAGGCCATCTAACCCAGGCAAACAACCACACTCCCTGCCCCCGTCCCCTCCGACCCACTCAATCCTTGGCAACAACAAAAACTTGCAACAGACGGTACTTTCGTTCTTTTCAAATATTTGCTCAGTTCGAAGTTTAACCCAGACATGACGGAGCCGTCGTTGCATGATAGACGCGCAAAAGAGCACATTCACATTCTTCAGTCCGTTGCCGAAGCTAGCTAGGTCTGGCAAGAGGAAAGTGAAAATAAAAAAAAATATATATATATTTTTTTTTTACGGTTGTACGTCGCAAGGCAACACCGTCTCGTCGGAAGGAGAACGAGATTTGTGCGAGCTAAAGGTTGAAATAGGATATGAATGTTCGTACTTCATTTGAATATTTATATTCTTCTTCGGCATTAAGTGGGACATGTGACCTGTGACCTGTCTCATGCGTAAAATAATTTTTGGGCGTCCGTGGAGCAATAGAAATTGAAAACCGACCCTAGAGTTTCAGGCAAATCGAAAATAATCACGCATATGACTCTAGTGCTCCTAATATTATTCTTTTTTTTTATTCAGTTTTAAGTACAATGGTTCTGTCGTTATTGAGGGGAGACGCAATGTCCTTGCGTTTCGAATGTTTCTGGAGCGAGTAAATGTACATTATGTTAATCGTTCGTTATATAAAAAGTAGCTGTAGTCTGAGCTTTTGCACCGTCAATCTGTAGAGCCATCAAGAAAATTGCAGTGCATGAATATTGGTGGGTCAGAGGAATTGGCAAGAAATGATCGCCGCTAACTAGAAGCTACGGCCGTTGGAAATATTAGAGCGCAGCTCTGAGGCGCCCGTTTCCGGTTTGAGCGTCGTCGTCGTCGCCGTCGGCGTCGGCGTAACCGCACGCATTGGATTATGGGAATAATGCATGCGGGCGTAACCGTGCGTTGCATTTTGGAAAAAAAATTCCCCGATAAATATAGTGGGAAAATTTTCGCTAAATTTTCCCGCTAAATTTAGCGAAACATTTTTCGTTAAATTTCCCGCAAAACTTAGCGGGAAATTTTTCGCTAACTTTAGCTGTAACATTTTCTTGCTAAATTTAGCGTAAAAATTCCCCGCTAAATTTAGCGGGGAAACATTCCCGTTAAAATGGCGTGAAAATGTCCCTCTAAATTTAGCGGTAACGTTTTCCCGCTAAATTTAGCGGGGAAATCTCCCCGCTAAAGTTAGCGGTAACATTTTCCCGCTATATTTAGCGGAAAAAGTTTACCGCTAAAATTAGCAGAAAACAATTAGCGAAAAATTTCCCCGCTAGCGGAAAAATTTCCCCGCTACACTTAGAGGTGAAATTTTCGTGAAATTTAGCGACAATGTCCCGCTAAATGGGTGGAAAGCAGGAGAGATGGAGGGGAGAGGGAGGGGGCATGCATCCGTATCCTCCCCACCTCCTCCTCAAGAGCTGCGCTCTAATTCGGCCTTACATTAAAATTGTAAACGTCTTTTATTTTTTTTCATACTCCCCCCCAAGACACGAAAGAAACAAAAAAACACGCAAAAACAAACAAACGAAAAAAAAAAAAAAAAAAACAGGCAGAGAAATTATCTCAATCTGAGCAAATTTGCTGATTTCGAGACGGTATGCCTACTTGTATGTTCCTTAATTTCTTCTTTTTTTTTTTTGGTATTTTTCGGGTTGAAGTATGGCAGTCGTTTATCAGCTTGCCTATTCTTACTGTTTCATTGTTTGAAATTTACGCCAACACTTTGTACTTAACTCTTCCCTGCTCCCAAGTAACTTCAAACGGTCTTTATTTGAAGTTTAAAGTCAGGTAAAAACAAATAGCGGGAACTGACAGATAGGGTTGTTTTTCGTTTGTCAATCGCCGCTCTCTCTTTCTTTTTTTCTTACATTTAGCCACGTTTTATTCATTTCTTTTCTTCTCGCGAGTCCGGTATTATGTACACTCCGAAGTAAGATTCTGCTAACGCCACGGATTCCTCAGCCTTATGCATGCTTCTGCTGCCCACCTGCTCAAAAATGCAGATTCCCCTGCTTTGAAACAAAATGTTACAAAGCCTTTTTTTCGCCAGAGTTTCAACCATCTGAAGTTTTATATGTTGATATGTTGTTCTCGGGTGTGCGTTGTATCTCTTTTTGTGCTTCATCGCATTCACTCGAGTGATTGTGTCATGTGCCGATGCTTTTATGACCACTCTCTTGTACTCACTGTGTAATGAACGTGCCTACGCATCCGAATGTCTCATTTTATTCGTGAATTATGACATCTTGGAATATGGGGCGGTACAGTTTGTTATCGGTGACAGAAGGCTGCCGCCGCTATGGCCCTCATGCCGGTGTGCACGCACGTGCGGCAAGCAGGTTCGTTGCCCCTCCAGTCGACATATAGCGGCACTCCTTATTCGGACCGTCACTTTTGCGAAGATGGTTCTCATAATCCTGTTCTGGGCTGTTGCGACGCTAACGTTGGAAGCGAAAGGTAATGACGAATGTTTAGCAAAGTCAAATTGAAAACGAAAAGGAATTAGCATCCTGAGACCTCTACCCCATTTTATATTTTGCTTCAATTTCATTTCTCTTGTAATTTTGTGAATATAATTACTTCGTTCTAGATTACTTGCCTAATAAGCGAACGAGCATCCGAGCGGCTTAATTTATCTCTTACCTATGAGAGGAATTGATTAGACGTCTTTATTTTGTTCTATTGTAAAACACATGGTTCGCGTGTCATATTTGAGTGTTCTGGTCATAGTTTTCGTGCGCCAGTTTCGGTAATGTTATTGCTTCGTATTCATGTGTAAAGTTATACGAAGAAGTTACGTGGTCAGTACCTTAAATTGGAGTACCCTATCAGCGCGCATATACTCACTTGTGTCATGCATTCTTATTCGGTGAAACAAAGTGTGAGCAAATGTAGTCAGCAAAGTAAGATGGCGTAATCCCGCCTTGTTATCACAAACCGATGACACACATGGAGGACAGAGCATAAACCAGGTAGTATTCCTAAAGGTAAATACATCTGCAGATCAAAAGAAGCACCTATCACCAACTTGCTTTTTACGTGCAGACTAGCAAGAACTTAAAATGTAGTGCGGCAATCACCACTTGCAGTAATTATTTCTGTTACAACGAAGGTATCGCACGATGTGGCAAACTATTGTTGTGTCCGCCGCTTTCCCGATTAATTCCTATTGCTATCATAAGCGATAATTTAAAATGAAAGTCTGCGCAGTTATAAGAAGGTAATCGGAGCTGGCTACCCGATCATTTAACAAAAACTATTATTGACTTCAAAAAGCCGATTGTGCGAGATTAGGGTGACGAAGATGATCCCTCGTGGGAGACAGACCATACTTTTGTATTATGGTTTCTCTAAACATCACACTACTACTATCTTAAGTCCATGGCTAAGATTGCGGCGACACTAATGTTCGATCTATCCGCGACTTATGAAACACGTTACGAAATAAATAGGACCTCTCTACAGAGTCTGTTTCTGCGTGAGACATTGCGCGCATGCATCCGCTAGCATTTAAAGGATGAAGAAATATTAAAGGAAGAGCAGTCATAAATCATGATTTCAGCATATTAAGGAGAACAATACCATGGGGGTTTTTGAAAGCTTGCCGATTCTTTTGCGAAAAAGTAGACGGACCGACCTTCTTTAGATTGTGAGATGTGCACCCTCAGTGCACCGTAATGAGATATGCGTTTAGGCCAAGTATGTACCTAAAACATATTTTAAATATTGAATAAGTTTCGGCCACGTCATTATTTTATTTTTGTTTCCATCGGCTGAAACGCCAGGTGACGCATGTGGTGCGAGCCTTGCCAAAGGGGGACGCATTGTTGGAGGACGGAATGCCACTGAAGGGGAATTTCCCTGGCAGGTGAGCGTACTACGACGGGTATTGGGCGTCGCTTTAAGGCTGTTACAGTCGTCTGCCTGACCGATAAGAGGCTTCAATGATTGCTTTATTCTTGACTACAATAGTCAAGTCTTGACTACAATACGCGTACACTTCTTTCTATCGGTGACTGTTTTCTGTCGAAATGAGAAGAAACTGACCGACGATGTCTATACGAAATGAAACCAAAACACTGAATGGGTATTAGTGAATTAAATATTTTGTTAAAGCTACTAGGTAAATGCAAAACAAAAGACAAAATTCAATTACCGGCAACTTCTATAGAGTTTACTCGGAAATTATGGAGTGAAAGCGTGCAACTGCGCGCAGCCCCTGGATTACAGAAGTCACGTTCATACATCTTGAATGAAATATGCTTCTCCTATTTTGTAGGGAACGAACTCGTTATAGGGAGTATTCACTGGCGGCCATAGCTGTGTGTGCGAATACTGAGCGCGTGCTGATGGCGAGCTTCCACAGTTCTTTTGCAACGTGCATTCCACACCATCAAAAGTGCCGGTCTTAGCAGCCTATTGATGTGAGCTCGTTCTGAGCATGCGCTCTAAACAACACCCACAAATATGGCGCCTAGTGAATACTTCCTACACGTTATATGGGGACGAACTCGTTATTCGAGCAACTCACATTATGTCCGCTTTGTTTTTCTTTTCGGGAGGGGGAGGGGGAGGGAGGGAGCTGTTTATTTCAAGGGTCTCACATGCAGCGAAGCGCTGATGTTGCGCTGGTCTCTTGTCGTCAGCTAGTTATAGTGTGCCATGATCAACAGTTTTGACGATGCGATACAAAGCTGGTGGACGCTTCCGTCAACACGCGCGCTTGGCGCGAGTTCAGCGCTATGCGTGTGCCGCTCCACTGCGTGTGTGAAAAGGCCTTTAGCTGGCACTCTGTTCCATTGCAGGTGTCTATCCAGACCAAGAACTCCAAGTTTCATTTTTGTGGAGGATCCATCATCGAACCGGACTTCGTTGTGACCGCTGCGCATTGTGTAAACGGGCACGTATACGCTCTGGTTGGTAAGAGAAAAGCGGTGAGCAGTGTGCTTTCCTTCCCAGGACCGATCCAGCGGATATAGTAGTCCGAGCTGGACTCTTGGACCTCAATAACCCGCCCAGCTACAGTCAACTGCGCGATGTAAGTATAACTCCGTTAGAAAAATGACGGAATTTTTTGTTAATGCGAAATCAATAACTGTTTCATTGGGCGGAGCCGGCGGCGCCTGTAACCGGGAAAAACGGCACATAAATTCCACTTTTCCCATTAGCGGAGCGGAACGGCACTTGAAGTCCCATTTCCTAATTGGCTGGACGAAACGGCACCTAAAGTCCCATTGGCTGCGGCGCGTCATAGTTCCAATGAACGCCACCCACAGAGATGCGCTGTCCTTGGCGCTGCGGCCCGCGCGCAGGTAAAAGGGAGAGGCTCGCGCGCCGGCGGCCGTCGCTCTTTCCCACGGTCGCAGCGCTCCGATGTCTCGAATCAGCTTAGCGCTCCGTGGGCTCGTCGCAGTCTTGTACACGTGACTAAAAAAAAAGTAATCGATTATAATTACTATTACTCTTGGCTAAAAAGTATTCGATTAGATTACTTGATTACTCAACGGCAAAAGTAATTGGACATTACTTAAAGAAGTAATCGTTACTTTTCCGATTACTTTATTGTGTGAAGACACATCTTTAGCGCTCGTAACAATGAACTACTTCCAACCTATATTTCACATTTGCACAAGTATTGAAGAAGAAAAACTGGCTCCCTCTTCGTGGTCGTTGCACCTTCACAATGCGGACACAAGCATAGAATTCGTTTGAAGACGTTTAATGATTTGGGCGTTCGCCTGTGTGTTGTGTGTGTGGGGGGTGGGGAGCGGAGGGGGTTCTAGATCTTGTTAAGCTTGAGCAAGGGTTGTCGCTCAAAGGTTGCGTCGCTCACTTTATTATTCACATGTGGATGAGCTCGCATGTTATACAAGAGAGCAGCAGCTCCAGGATTTGAAACGGATCATGTGTAGTGATCTAGTGATCACTATACATGTGTGATCAGTGATCACTACACACTAGTGATCAGATATGTACACAATACACAACGCGTTACTGGTAACGAGTCACTTCTACATAGAGTTACTTTTTTCGATAATGAGTGAAGTATTTAGTGACTTTTTTAGAAAAGGAACGAGTAACGCACTTAGTTAATTCTAAAGCCAAGTAACGAGTAATGGTATTTCGTTACTTTTGTGGAGTAACGTGTACAACCAAATTTAAAATCCTCCTTTTATTTCTTACCTGAGTATATATTTATTCCGGCGAAGGCAGGATGGGCAACTTATAAAAACAACTTAACAGTATGACAATATAGCAACGTTAATTGCTGAACACGTCAGTAGAACTCCACAGCTGGGAATGTCCTTCACACAGCGAGAACAATAAGGTTCATTGGTTGAACCTTCTGGAATCGTGTACAGATCGAATGTAAACATGGATGTTGCCAAAGCAGGAGCCACAAGACCCATTGTCAACTTCGAACTTTTAAAGCAAAGAGAACAAAAGAGAGAAGGGAATCGCAGATTCACCAGCTCTTGCTGAAGCACAACACTGCCGTTCATTTGAACGCGTCAGTAGAAGGACTCTTCAGCGTCGCCGGAGATGTATTCTCAAAGATGCGGGGAAACATCACTGATGAAAACTTAGAGAGGCAGCTACTGCTTAAGTGCAACAGCCGCTGAAGAGAATGTAATAAACAATGAAGCAAAAGCAATTGTGTATTTGGTAGTCAAATTAACCAAAAAAGTAACTCGCTACTTTTGAGGTAAAGTAACACGTTCCTTTTTTGAATCTGTAACGAGTAACGTATTTAGTTACTTTTTGTTTGCGTAACGGGTAATGGTATTCAGTTACTTTTTGGTGGTAACGTGTACATATATGTCAGCGATATGTTGCTAAGCTTCTTATTGGCACTTGCAGTGGCTCTCGATACGTAACTTTTATGAACGAATAAATCAATTAAGACTCTGATGCGAATTATACGATTGTGAAGAATAAATTGTCCGTTTTTGTCATTGTACGCAGGTGCAAAAAATTGCCGTTCACGAGTCGTATGCAGACCTGGCCAACGATATAGCTCTTCTCAAGTTAGCTACCCCTTTTGACTTTGCCGAGAGCCAGGGGCGCATCGGTGCTGTCTGTCTTCCCGCCAAGGATCGCCCGTTGAAGAACAACGTTGAAGTCACCGGCTGGGGAACCACATCATCCGGTAACGGAGGCTTGACTTGTTGCAGCTGTTGGATTGGTGCCTATTGAGACAGTGCTGTGGTCAGTTTTAGCACCTTCAAAACTAACCATTAATCTTTTTTGTTTTTACATTTTGCTTAAAACGTTTTTTTTTAATCTTACAAACTTGGGAATGTGAGGTGCACAATTCTCACATTTAAGGACTTCCGATTTTCCCAGTTGTGCGACTGGAAAGATTTTATTGATGTAAAATTATAGGTCTTCACGCAAGTATAGTCACTGACAACATAAATAAACCTGGAAGTGAACTATTCTGATCACGTTTCTTGCTTGCCAACTTTGCAATTTTCCCGCGCTCTCCAGTAAGATGATGTTGCGTAACTTGCATGCTGAGCAGGAGTCCCATAAAAACTCAACATTTTGCACGTGTGTTTTTACTTTCTCTTTTTTTGCTGACTTGAGCTTAACTATCATTCATTTTACACCACCAAACATATTGTAACCCGTCGAAAAGAAGCTGGTATGCCCCTTTATTGCCCCATATTACGCAGCGGTAGATCCTCTCAGCCTCTCAGACCAAGTTGGAAACCACTAAATTCTCGAAAATGAAATATAGTAGCTTAAAATTTAGGTTACTTATTCTGGTCTGTCTATAAATGTGTTGAAGCAGTATAAAGTCACTTATTTGAAGCAAATTAGTGACTAATAAAATTTCGCCAGAGCTAACTTGCGACGCAAAGGCTCACGCTCAATTTAGCTGATTCCGGGTGTGGTCATTTTTAGGCAGTTGCATTTCGATGCAATCACAATTAACTTTTACGTTTTGTTGCTGCCTGCTCTGGTCGCTTCCCTTCGTTACTAGAGTCATACGAGAGTCCTTTCTAGTCAGCACTGTGTTCCGGCCGATGCTACTAGCTGATGGGACCAATCAGAACGCGTCAAAAGCGCCCCATCATGATGCTCGTTATGTTTCTGTCCGCGTTCTATCATCGCTGAACTAATCATAAACAGAAAAAGACCAGTGACCAGTGGATTTAAGCTGAAACGAAGTATAGCTGTCACCAACGCGGGTTGGGTATCGGTTGGTCACCTCCCGTTTCAGTGGTGCATGATGCCGATAAAACACTAAAAATTCAGTATTGTTGAGAGAAGGATGGTACACGCGTTGAGAAGCAGCAGCCCTTTAGGAACCTTCAAGTACTCATGACAGCATGTGTTTTTGAGTTTTTGTGTGTATGACTATACAACCTGAAGTTAGACTGCCTCAACGGGCGACTTGTCTCTCAGCTGTAGACGAGCAGTTTAGCCTGTGCAGTACAAACGCAAGTCTGGGGTTTTTAACCTGCACCACGCAGTAGTGATACACGACCGCACGCTGGTACGACGCTCTTACCGATCGAAGTGGGCAGGGTTGGGGATTGAACTCAGGTCCCTGAAGCTCCTCTATCTTGGGAAAAGTGGCGGCATTCATTGTTGTGGAAATGCTCGAGACACTTCTCGGAAGGACATGGCGTTTGAAATCTAGCTCAGTGCTACGTTGTGCCGCAATGATCTTTCCAAGGGCTGCACGTTGCTCGTGCTTTGTGCATCGACGCACCTTGCGCTACTTTCAGAGCGTGAAGAGGCTTTAAGGATCTCTGGGTTCTGCAGCGCGCGCTTTCGCTTCACGTGCTCCGAGCTGGTGTGCGCTCCGCTAGCCCACTCGGCCACCGGTCCTGTGAGGTAGACCAAGTTCTAGGCTGTATAAACATACACACAACCCAATTTCTTTTGGCCAACGATCCCTCTCATGACAGCTAGCACATCCAGGAACAAACAAAAGCAGTTAACCAAATAGAAGACGTCGAGGGCAAACATCGCGTGAGGCCCGGCGTCGCGGCCTCACGCTTTACAGATTTATTACAGGAGCCGTGAAATGTTCTTAATACTTTCGCTAAATACTACTTAAAATCACTCTGTGACGGTAATAAATGAACAATCTTGCCTTAGTTTTTCTTTGTAGGCAATGGCAGTCGACACAAAAATTCGAAAGATGTGAGCGTCGTTGATCCCCTCACTCGGAGCCAGAGTCAAGCGGCCACGTGGCCTGGTGCCTATCCTGTGCCGCCAAGATTAATAATTAAGTTGGCAAAGTAGAAAGGGCGTGCTGAGCTGACATTGGTAGAGTTCGGCTATTCTCATCACCGCAATGGTTGGACACGAGCCACTCACTAACTGAGATGGCCGCAGAGGCATTGACTGTTACGAGCCGAAGTTGAGTGCTGCACGCAGTTCTCGTGTCCAATCCTTGAGCCGCGCTCGACTGTCGTCAGGCGGGAGGTTTTGATCCCACAAATACGTCATCAAGCTTTGCAAGGGCAAGAGTGAACGAAAAAGTCTCGTTTTATTCTCGAAATTTCACCGCATCAACAAGCTTCTAATCAGTGGCGGTTCGTGCGAGTGTACTTGGGCCAGACTAGGACCAGTACGCCTTTGCAATGTCATGAACATTCCAACCTGTTATTGTTTCATAACCCCCTACCCCCTAAAAAAAAAAAGAAAAAAAAATGAAAAAAAAATCTTGAAAGCTGTAGGTCCGTAGCTCTAAAGTTTTGAGCGGCGCTCCAGGCGAGCAAAATAGAATATTTGCAGCTCGCGTTTCGAACATGCGTCATTACGATTCCCCACAATATTTGTTTTTATACTCCGTTCCATTATAAGTGCCAGCGCCGCGTAAAGTCAATGCATCCTTGGAAAGCAGCTCCAAGCTCTCCGTATGGTCTTCATCTTGGTCCATGAAATGCGCAATTTCTCCTTGACCCCTCCGTTCTGGGTGAGCCGATCTAAATTCGCTGGTGACGAGTAGCTTATGGAGACGTTTCTTGTATATCGAGATTTCGCTAGCCACACACCGGCAAAGCAAGCGTACATCTTCGTACCCCCACCACATGCTTTGTCGGTGCTTGGAGGCACTGAAAAATGAGTTTACTGTTTTGAAATACGCAAAATGAACAATTTAATTGTAAAAGATCCGTGGAGATGGGCATGATTGATAAGTTGATTGCATACACACTGCCAAAGACGCTTATATTGGTGAGGAACGCTTCCAGTACGATGATGCTCCATGGTGATCTTGGCGGGATTGGTTTAGAACGATCCTTTGGGATCTTAAAGTTTCGAAGATTTGAATGGACGGATGGCGATTTTCATGTTAACGTAGTCGTACTAGCCAGTCGCCTTGCGACATTTGGTCGTCTGTATCTTAGTATCTGTTTGTGTCCGACTAGCAGGTAGGGAAGTCAATGACGCTACTTTCCCAGGATCTATTGACTTTAACAAGAGTGAGCTCTGAGCCACTCCGAGCTTTCAGTGTCCCATTCCAAGCACTCGCGCTCATGCATTGTGAGCATCGTTCGGGGGAACACGCTTTTGCAAGTAGCTTCGGCTTCGCTCTCACGTAAAGTGAAACATACGTGCTCACGGAGGCTATGAAAGAAAACAACATATATAATGAAGCATGAAAGGAATGATGAGACGCTGAGGCCGCGAGCTGCATAATTTTTTTATTGCTTTCTGGGGAATTTTGTTATCGTCTATTTACAGATGCTGACATGCCTGTATTCGAACTTTGCACATGCATAATCGGACGCGCCGCTTTCATGGTCGTATCGCGTAAATGGTGCAGACAGCATAACATGGTGGCGTCTTTCGGACGCCACTCCCATTTATCGTCTTCCAAAAACTACGATTGTGATTGTGTAGTATGGACGGCTAACGTGCACACTGTTGCATTCTTAGCCGGCAGTGAAGCCAAAGCTATGGGTACCTGTGCGCTCGCGGAACTTGAGCCCCGATCAAACCTGAGCACGTGGCGCGATGTTCGCTTCTTTTGAAAAGCCAGACAAAGTTGTCCGCGATCATCGTTTTGAGAATGCGCTGCGAGGAAAGTCCAACAAAATGGCGTCCCGTGAATACCGTATATATAAATACGACCTATTTAGGTAAGTTATAGGCCAGGGCCAGGGGGACATAATTTAGGGCAGAGGGTCTCTACCATTCATGTTTCGCGGACCCCTTGTAGATCGGCGTAGGGTGCATACTTTCCGGTGTTTATTTATGGCAAAAATCGGCGGATGTTTATCGGTGCTTATTCATTTCACCGGTACCGGTGCTTTTCGGTGAATTCTCTCGTCCAGACGCTAAAAACGGAGATTATCGGGGGAAAATTGTGAATGTCAGCAACCACTGAAGACGAAAAACAGTCCGAAATTTATTTACATCTTTTGCACAATCTCTTTCATTATTGATTATTGTAGTATAAATTCCAAAATGCTCGCTCAATATTTCCGCTGGACACGGGAAGCCCCAAGACGTCCTACGAGGCTTGGGACAGTACTGGCCAGCTGTCCTGTGACTGGCCTCTCGGGCCACTGATAGTGATCTTTAAGCTCGGCGGCCCGGGAGGACCACTGACCTTGGAGAACAGTGGAATAAAGCTACTCTCAAGACAACCTAGGGCACAACAGAAAGGCAGGCAAAGTGCATGATTCCAACTAAAATAATGTGTTTGGCGGAAATTTCTGTAGGATTTTTTTTTCAGTAAAAATGAGAATAAAAAAAAAACATTGCTATGAATTTTTTTTTTTAGAAATCGGCGTTTTTTAACGATTTTTATTTCTGACACCGGCGGACGTTTATTGTTGTTTTTCGTTTAAAATTGGGAAGCATACAGCAATTTTTCGGAGAAAAAAACCAGCGCTTGCTCGAAAATATAAAAAAAAAACGATGTTTTTCGGTTTTAACCGATTTTGTATTTTCAACGCCGGCGGATGTTTATCTGACTACATCAGTTCTACGGCTCACGATGCCAACATAGTGCTACGTATCCATCTGCAAGCAAAGTGGGTATCTGGACAAGTTAGGTACATATTCGTAATTGTACTCGTGCGCCGGTCGGGTTGGGATATTCAGCGGCGTAGCAGCGCGGACGTTTGCCTCCTCAAGTGCAAGAACGGAACACGAACGGTTCCCAACCAACGCTGC